CCTAGATAGAGAATCCTTAAGGCAGCAAGGGAGAAACAGGAAGTAACAAACAAGGGAGCCCTAATAAGGTTAGCTGGTGACTTCTCCATGGAAAAGCTTCAAGCAACAAGAGAATGGAAAAAAATATCCCAAGTAATGAGAACCAGAGGCCAGCAACCAAGTCTACTTTACCCAGCAAGGCTCTCAATCAAGACAGAAAGCCAAATAAAGAGCTTTCAAGACACAAGAAGTCTAAAAGACTACACCTCCACCAAACCAGCTCTGCAAGCATGATAAAGGGACTGCTTTAAGGAAAGGAAGGAAGAGAAAGAGACAGAGAGGAACACAGGTACAAAAATGGCAATGAATAAGTACCTATCAATAATAACATTAAATATAAATGGATGAAATGCTCCATCAAAAGACATAAAATAGCTGAATGGATAAGAAAGTATGACCCACACATATGTTGCCTACAAGAGACCCACCTCAGGACAAAAGACCATGACAGACTAAAAGTGAAAGGCTGAAAATAAGTTTTCTAAGAAAATGGACAGGAAAGAAAAAGCCAGGGCAGCAATACTCATATCAGAAAAAATAGACTTTAGAGAAAGAGTCCATAAAGAGAGACCCAGAAGGTCACTTTATAATACTCAAAAGAAGAATCCACCAAGAAGACATTAACATCATAAACATATATGCATCCAATGCAGGAGCACCCAAATACATAAAGAAAATCTTAGAGGACTTCAAGAAAGATACTGACAGTGACATAATTATACTATGGGATTTCAACACCCCACTGTCAAAAATGGACAGATCTCTAAACAAAATATCAACAAAGATATTGTGGCATTGAACAATGCTCTACATTACATGGACTTAACTGAAATATATAGAGCCTTTCATCTCAAAGAAGCGAAATACACATTCTTTTTAAATGCACATGGAATATTTTCAAAGATAGAACATATAATAGGACACAAAACAAGCCTCAATGAATTCAAGAAAATTGAAATCATATCAAACATTTTCTTCAACTACAAGGGACTAAAACTAGAAACCAACCCCAAAGGAACAAATCCAATGCACTGAAAGTCATGGAGATAGAATAGCATCCTATTAAACATTGAATGGGTCAAGAATGAAATTAGGGAAGAAATCTGAAAGTTTCTGGAAAGAAATGAAAATGAACTAACAACAACACAAAACTTATGGGACACAGTGAAGGCTGTCCTGAGAGGGAAGTCCATAGCAATACAGGCCTACCTAAAAAAGATAAAAACATTTCAAACAAAGAACCTAACCCTACTCCTACAAGAATCTGAGGAACAACAAATGCAGCCTAGAGCAAGTAGAAGGAAGGAAATAACCAAGATCAGAGCAGAATTAAATGACATAGAGACTAAAAGCACAATTGTAAGGATCAATGAATCCAGGAGCTGTTTTTTTAAAAAATAAACACAACCAACAAGCCTTTCAGCAGGCTCATTAAGAAAAAAAGAGAGAGGACCCAAATACACACAATCAGAAATGAAAGAAAAGAAATTACAAGTACCACCACAGAAATACAAAGGATTGTAAAAAATTACTATGAAGAACTGTATGCCAAGAAATTTGAAAATCTAGGTGAAATGGACACATTTCTAGAAAAATACAATCTTCCAAAACTCAGTGAAGAAGCATAAAGCCTGAAAAGACCAATAACAGCAGATGAAATTAAAGCAGTAATAAAAAAACTCCCATCACACAAAAGCCCTGGACCAGATGGTTTCACAAGAAAATTGTACAAAGCATTTAAGGAAGACCTAAACCTATTCTTCACAGACTATTCCAAAAAATTCAAAATGATAGAAAATTCCCAAACACTTTTTATGAAGCCACCATCATCCTAATCCAAAAACCAGGTAAAGATACAACAAAGAAAGAAAACCTCAGGCCAATATCACTGATGAACATAGATGCTAAAATCCTCAACAAAATATTGGCAAACCACATCCAAAAATACCTTAAAAAGATCATACACAATGACAAAGTGGGATTCATCCCAGGGACACAAGACTGGTACAATATTTGTGAATCTGTAAACTTAAGGCACCAATATTCACAAATCAATAAATCTAATACATCAGATAAACAAAAGCAAAGACAAAAAACACATGATGATATCAATAGATTCAGAAAAGGCATTTGATAAGGTGCAACATCCATTTATGATAAAAACACTCAGCAAAGTGCGAATAGAGGGAGCATTCCTCAATATAATAAAGACCATGTATGAGAGACCCACAGCCAACATCATACTCAATGGGCAAAAACTAAAAGCTTTTCCACTAAGATCAGGAACAAGACAAGGATGTCCACTTTCACCACTTCTATTCAATATAATATTGGAAGTTTTAGCCACAGCAATTAGACAAGAAAAGGAAATAAAAGGCATCCAAATCAAAAAGGAGGAAATAAAACTGTCATTGTTTGCAAATGACATGATAGTGTACATGGAAAATTCTATAGACTCCACCCCAAAACTGCTCATTCTAATAAATGAATTTGGCAAAACAGTGGGATACAAAGTCAATATCTAGAAATCAAAGACATTTTTGTATACCAACAGTGAACAGCAGAAGCAGAAATCACAAAAAATATCCCCTTTGATATAGCAGAAAGAAAAATTAAAATAACTAGGACAAAACCTAACCAAGGATGTAAAAGACCTGTGTGGAGAAAACTGCACAACACTGAGGAATGAAATCAAGGAAGACACAAACAAAAGGAAACATGGATGGTGTTCATGAATTGCAATAATTAACATCACCAAAATTTCTATACTTCCCAAAGCAATTTACAGATTCAATGCAATACCTATTAAAGTACCAATGGCATATTTCACAGACATAGAACAAACACTTCAAAAAGTTATATGGAGCCATAAATGAGCCCAAATAGCTGCTGCAATTCTGAGAAAAAAGAACAAAATAGGAGGGATCACAATACCTGATACCAAAATATATTACAAGGCCACTGTAATCAAATCAGCCTGGCATGGCATAAAAAGAGGCACATAGACCAATGGAACAGAATAGAGAGCCTAGGAATAGACCCAAGTCTCTATAGGCAATTGATATTCAACAAAAGGGGCAGCAACATAAACTGGAGTGAAAATAGCCTCTTCAAGAAATGATGTTGGGAGAACTGGACAGCTAGGTGCAAAAAAATAAATAAATAAACTTGAGCAGCAACTTACACCATACACCAAAGTAAATCCAAGGTGGATAAAAGACTTAAATATAAGCCATGACACCATTAAAGTCCTAGCGGAGAACATAGGCAGGAAAATCTCAGATATTTTACACAGCAACATTTTTACTGATATGTCCCCTAGAGCAAAGGACATAAAGGAAAGAATAAACAAATGAGATCTCATCAAAATTAAAAGTTTCTGCATGGCTAAAGAAAACAGTATTAAATTAAAAAGACAACCAACTATATAGGAAAATATATTTGCCAATGATACCTCAGACAAGGGTTTAATCACCAAAATATACAAAGAACTCACACGACTCCACTCTAAAAAGACAAGCAACCCAATTAAAAAGTGGACAAAGGACTTGAATAGGCAGTTCTCCAAGGAGGACATACAGAAGATCTAGGGACACATGAAAAGATGCTCAATATCACTAGCTATCAGAGAGATGCAAATTAAAACCACAATGAGATACCAGTTTACACTGGTCAGAATGGCTATCACAAACTAGCAACAAACTACTGTTAGAGAGGTTGTGGAGAAACGTGAAGTCTTGTGCACTGTTGGTAGGATTGCAGACTGGTACAACCACTGTTGGAAACAGTATGGAATTTTTTCAGAAAACTAAAAATGGATCTGCCTTTTGGCCCAGCAATTCCATTGCTAGGATTTTGTCCTAAGAACCCTGAAACACCAATCCAGAAGAACCTATGAACCCCAATATTTATAGCAGCACAATTTACAATAGCCAAGAGTTGGAAGCAACCTAGGTGCCCATCAGTAAATGAATGGATCAAAAAGTATAGTACATATACACAATGGAATTCTATGCAGCAGAAAGAAAGAAGGAGCTCCTACCCTATGAAACAGCATGGATGGAACTGGAAAGCATTATGCCAAGTGAAATAAGCCAGGAAGTGAAAGACAAATATCATATGATGTCACCTTTAACAGGAACCTAAACAACAAAACAAAGAAGCAAGCAGAAAAAAAACAAAGACACTGAAATAAAGAACAAGGGGACAGTGACCAGAGGGGAGAGGGGACAGGATTTCAGGGAAAAAGGGGAAGAAGGTTCTATAGGAACAAGAATAAAGGACACATGTACAAAAACTAAGGGGGGTGGAAATGAGAGGGAGGTGGGGAGCACTGAGGGGGTGAGCTGGGATGGGAGTAAAAGAAAACTGTACTTGAACAACAATTAAAATAAATTTTAAAAAATACTTGTCACTCAGATAAGCAGCAAATAATACATTTCATAGAGGGAAGTGAATTGAGTGAATTTTTTCTAGCCATATGTTTTTCTTGTCTTTATAAGCAATTTCCTAATTTATTGTCAACTATTTAATATAAACTGGCTGAATCAAGTAAAGTTTGATAAATGAAATAGATTTCATTGCATAAAACAGTACACAACCCAAAATACTCTCTAAAAACAAAATCCAAAATCCTTAATGAAAAATGGCTTTTTCAATTATTCATTTATTCACCAATTTTAATTTTTTTGTGATTTTAAGCAAAACCTGAAAATTTACAATAACGCAGTACCTTCTAAATTTGACTTCTACAAGTGATACCATATGAAAAACACACATGAGAGAATTAAAAAGTACCTTTCACTTCAGTTTATTTACATTTATAGCAAACATATGAACTTTTTTTATGCAATGTATTAGCTGCCTACCCTAGCTCAACAGGTTTCCCAGGTTCATCCCTCTGAGTATAACAGGACCCTGGACATAGTGACCCAAGTGCAGCAGAGCAAGACACTCCTTACCTTTGAAGAAGACAAAGTTCCCATCATTGTTTTCATACACTGCGTCGATACCCGGAGGCAAGCCACGCCAGAAGTAAGTGATCTGCATGGGGTACCCATCCATGACCCTGTTGTTCCTCACACGCCAGAACCACTGTTCCTGCAAGCCAAGCACAGGGTAGCTCAGCATACTTGCCTGGCTGCCAGGCCTTGGGGAGGGGTGAAGTAAGGGGAGGTCCAGCACCTAAAGCCATGCCCACATCTTTGTCACAGCAATCAAGAAAGAGCTAAATATTTGTCTACAATGAGCTTTTCGTAGTAAACCTTCCAACCTCTAATCCATATAGTGTGGTTAAAAGGATAACAAAACACTCAATCTTTTCATTGACATTATACCCAGGGCTTCCCTGGTGGAAAAGATAGGGAGCCCAGACCATACCTTGCCAGATCTGTGGACAAGTCAGCTTTCCACAGTGAGAGCTGGGTGGGCACAAATAAATCACTCTGATGTGTGGGTTCCACCTCCAGGGTTGGGGATGCCTCTTAACTTCCCCACATTGTAACTATCATACTGTGGAGTTATAATGAAATCTTCTGTAACCATCTAACGTGTTCCGCTTGGGTCAATAAATTACATAGTCACTGCAAATTAACAGAGTAATCTTGAAAAAATCATCACAGAGGATTCTAGACTGGGTCAACTGCCTGTCCTACATGTTCCCAAAATGGCTTGGGCTCCACTCAGGCACAGCAAAGATCATTTAATGTACAAGTGTCTGCTCCTATCTCTAGTGAATAACACATGGATTGCATTAGAGTAAGGGTCCATAAATGTTGGTGAGTTGATAATTAGTCTACACACAATATGTTTCACCATAAATACTTACTAATGGCAAGAAAATCAAGAATTACACCTTTGATGACGTTGCTTTCTACTAAAAATTTCAAAATTTAGTGACTATCCAAAGTGCTTTAATATTAGAAAAACTGGATGTTTTAAAAATTAGTTTTCAATAAATTAAAATTTACTATTTCACTTTAATTTAAATTTCTGTATGTAAAATTTCACTTGCAAGTTATATATCTGTACTATTTAGATAAGCATGTATCACACCACACTTCTGTTTCCATTCCTCTTTGTTCCTCCTCTCCCAAATCATATTAAGTGATTCATTGTAGGGCTTTCCTGAGCTTCTAGTAGGAATAGGTTGGCCTGATTAGGTTTCCCCAAATTTTTCAATTATTCATCCATCCATTCACACATACGTGCACACATACCACATACTCTACTGAGGATTCTTGTATTTGAGGTGATATAAAATTGAACCTTTTCCATCTAAATAAATCCAACTGTAAATTTTTAGGAACATTTGAATAGTTGTCCTTTGTTTAGTTATCATGGGCTGTTTTCTCTACTAATCTCTGTTACTTATGAATAAAGAAGAAAATTAATTAATTAAAGCCTTTAAGTTGTCCTGTCCCAAATAACTGTCACCTTGGAAAATATACTAGTCACTGAGTAATTACATACTAATATCCAGCCAATGACCTCAACTAATAGCATCAAATGAAATGATGTGGTCCTTCTAGATTCTTGAAAATGGTCTTAATTTCACTGGGGACACCAGTCAAAAGTTGGCCAGAGTAATTCTGGGACAAATGACATAACACAACACCTCACAAGTTGAAGTCACTTTACATATTTTCTGCCTTTTTGAAAGATACTCCAAACACACATTCACAGTATGGAGGAAGCAAGTAACATATTAATAAGTGATTTTCTAATAAAGTTTCTATTCTTGATGAGCTTTTTTTAAAAGATTTTATTTACTTATCTTCAGAGGGGAAGGGAAGGACAGAGGGAGAGAAACATCAATGTATGGTTGCCTTTCGTGGGTCCCCTGCTGGGAACTGGCCTGCAGAGAACCAGCCTGCAACCCCAGTATGTGCCCTGGCTGGGAATCAAACCATGATTGTCTGGTTCGCAGGCCTGCGCTCAATCCACTGAGCTACACCAGCCAGGGCTAATAAGTGATTTTTTTAAATCGTATCAAAATTCACAATTATGGATTTTCCTTAAATATCTATTTTCAATAAAACACCTGTTATAATCACCATGCAAATTTAGAAATGTAAATTATTTTAAAATATAAATGCATACTTGGGTTTCAAAGCAAAAAAGAGTTGTCATTTTCAAAATATGTTTATTACTTGTGCTAGATGTATACAAATCTTTTAATATTCTCAAATTGTTAAAATATAATTGATTATGGATTAATTTATATCAAAATAATCTGGACACCAAAAGGTTGGATAATAGGTCAGATATTGATAATTTTCTTGTTAATTAGTATTTATTAAATCCAGACATAAAGAATATTAATTTTGGGGTGCATTGAGGGAAGATGGCGGTGAGGTAGGTGGAAACAGGACCCACTTGATCATCCACCCAACTGGGACACCTAGCCCATCTTCCAATGAACAGAGTGAACAGCCAACAGAAGTCCAGTTGATGTGAAGTTTGGAAGCCAAAGATTGCAGGGGAGCGTTTAAAATAAACTGTAAGGAGATTGTGTAAGCAGACAGGAGGGTCCCCAGGCCCTGCTCCAGAGACCCAGGCTGTCACAAGAACTTCAGAGGACAGTTGGGTCAGTGATTATAACTTAGCAGCTCCCTCACCTCCCAGAAGACACCTGGATGCTTATAGGTGCCAGTGGGATAAAGACACAGTAAGAGACAAACAGCTGGCAATGTACCCTGACTGGCACTGCAGTTACTAACCGGGACAGTACCAGAGAAATTGGAGAGCTGGGCAGCACCTGTAGGTGGGAGAAGAGATAGGCTGTACCAGCCGTGACCCAGATAATCTCTAGCCAGAAAGTTAGTCTGTGTGGAAAGCCAAGTGCTCGCTAGGAATGGCCAGTGGCATCCTAGGGGAATTCTCTCAACAAAGGCTCTCAGTTGTAGTGGAAGATCTCTCACAGCACAGCAGCCCACCAAAGGAAGAGGGAGTAGGAGGGGCATGATTTGCTCCAAATCAAGGCATCTTACAAATTAATCAAAGGGGAGCAGCAGGGGCTCAGAGAGGTAGAGGCACTAAAGTGCCCTGAAGGGACTTTGTCCCAGAGCAGCTACCAGGCCAACAAACAGGGAGGAGGAAGGGTGTGACTTTTTCCCACTCAGGGCACCTCACAGACTGATCATTGGTATTCACAACAAGGTGGATTGTAGGTTGCCAGCCTGGTGCATATGTGCAGAGTGGACAGTGTGGTCCAGGCAGCATTCTTGAGAGTATGGGCTGGAAAATGGGCACCTGTGCTTACTGTAGCCCAGACCCAGCTCCTTCCTAGAGAAACCACAGGAAAGAAAAAATAATGGAGCTTAGCCCCCTTTACCCTACAGCATCCAGGAAGACCAAGAAAACCAGACTGACAGGTTTAAAGACAGCAGGGGGCTTCTTTTTTTAATTGAAAGACAATAAGGCCTAGAGCTATAATAATACCAAAGGCAGATCTTTGAAGAAGTCAGAAGGCTAAAGACAAGAGCTGAGACAAATTTCTGCTTGCTATCCTTCAGAATTTGCATTTTACTTTTTGTTATTTTTATTATTGTATTTTTTTGTATTTCTCTTCTTTCTGTTTAGTTTCTTTTTTATTTTATTTATTTATCTTTAGAGGGGAAGGGAAGGAGAGAGGGAGAGAAATACAATGTATGGTTGCCTCTCATGCATCCCCTCCTGGGGACTGGCCTGCAACCCAGGCATGTGCCCTGACTTGGAATCAAACCCCAATCCTTTCCTTTGCAGGCCCATGCTCAATCCACCGAGCTACACCAGCCGGGGCCTGTTTTGTTGCTTTTGTTTTGTTTGGTAGATAAGTTTTCATTATTCTCCCTTCCATACTGCATTTTAATTTATTCTCTTTCACTTCACTCTTATTCCAATAACACACCACTCTTGGTCTTTTCATTTTTTTAATTCACATTATATATTCCTTATCATATTATTGTTGTTCCAAAATCCACATAGCACCCTTCCCTGGTCTTAATTCATTTTGCCATCTTCCTAAGCTATATTACTGTTGTAGTGAACTATATTCTATCACACACTACGCCAAGTTTCTAGCCTGTACACTCACCATATCTCACCAACTAAACTTGCATAAGTGCTCTGCTTTCTAAAGTCAGCTCAATTTTTCCCTTCTAATAAGATCCTTAACTCTTTTTCACCTTTTATAAAAAGTAGCTACTTGGGTGAAATATCACAGTTATCTCTGTACTTCCCCAAAAGATCTCCTATATATTCTCTACTTGTTGGTTTTCTCAATCCCACAAAATAATCTCCCCCTGGAGATTGGTCTTACTCCATTTCCCCCTAACCATTTCATGATAATATATAAGAGAAAGTGGGAGTTGTGAATATCAGCAAAGCTGGTTGGTGGAAGAAAATAACCCACCAACAAAGGACCCACCAAGAGGTAAAGCCTGAATACACAAGAGTCTACATAAGTGGAAGAAAGGGCTCTCAGCATTCAGACAAGGAGATCAAAGTCAGGGCACCTCGGAGTCCCACAGAAGTTCACCCTGCCAAGACAGCTGGCAAAGCAGAGAATCAGGAAACACCAAAACAAACAAAAAGACTCACTAAAATGAAAAGAAAGAACCCATATTCAAAAGGGATGAAAGAATCCCTAGTTTAAAAAAATGAATGGAATGGAAGCAAGCAAACAATCAGATACACAATTCAAAAGAATGGTGATAAGGATGGTCAAGGAACACAGAGACATGTATAAGGAACTGAGTGGCAACTACAACAGTGTAAAAAAGAAAATAGAATATATAAAGAAGAACCAGGAAGAAATGAAGAATATAATTTATGAAACAAAAAATATACTAGAAGGAATTATAATAAGGCTGGGTGAAGCAGAGGATCAAATTAATGAGCTATAAGAAAAGGTAGAAAGAAACACCCAGGTAGAGCAACTTCAAGAAGAAAGAACAAAAAAATATGAAGATACTTTAATGGAACTGCAAGATAATGTGAAACACAACAACATTCAAATACCAGAAGGAGCCAAAAAGGAGCAAGGGTTAGAAACCCTGTTTGAAACAAAATAATGACAGAAAACTACCTAAACCTGGAGAGGGGGAAAACATGCAAGT